ACCTCCCAATTTGTTTACCCTAGTGATAAAAAGTCTGAATTCTAAATCACTAACACAGTCCATCCAGGCACCACGAAAGTCAAAGAGCATATGTCACCCTTTCTTAAAGTCACCCTCATTAGCATATGAAAATCACTCAAGGGCTTTAAGCCTCCCCTTCCAGACAAATCATTTTCGAACCAGACACGAGAAAACACAAAGCATGCCTACACAATCGACATCTATTCACAAGTTTTAAGGCCAAATTTCCGCTACAAGATGCGTCGAAAAAAAATATATAGAAGAGATTTACGCAAAAAAGAAACACAAATTTAAGAAGACAGAGCGAGAGGGAGAAGAGGGAAGGGGTGCCGCAGTAGGACTACCATGATCAGAAGATTGGGTGAAGGCGTTTGAGCACTTTTTCTGTCAGAAGTTAACCGTTGTAGTGAATTACACTGAGTCTACAAAAAAAAATGCGCGAAAATACGTCCACTCGCGGGGAGAGGAAAATCCTATTGATTTTGCTACCCATAAGTGAGTCGGCAAGTAGAAAATCAATGAAAATTAAGTAGGCTACAGGAGGCGAATTGTCGACAGCCTCACTGATTGAATGATTCATCGACCTCACAGCGTGTGACCGGATCAAATTGAAGAAACTTACCGAAGATGGGCAAAAATAAACCAATTAATTTCTCTCTCGCAAGCACCCACGCACGTATGCACGTTCACAAGCGGGCATTAGTCAGTGTGGCAGGGAAATCGATTTAATGGGACATGGTGCGAGTACGTCTTTTCCTTCGTTTCTCCAACGCCTTTGTAATAATCATAACCGAGGGAGTAAAAGTTCCCAAAATACCGTAGGTAATTAACAACGCCAAACCGGCATGTAAGCCGACGTTAAAGGGTGAGGTGTCATAGAATATGTACTTCTCCTTGTCCTCCATGCCCTCTTTCAGTGTAACAGCTGATGCAAAATGCGAGAAGGCAACGAGAAGAAAGCAGAGAATTGACATGATTCGATTCGCGAACAAGCCAACACGGCGCGAGAGAAGGCGAGAGACAGAGGTAGTGTGAATATAGTTGCACAAGGCACTACTAGCTGAGCCTTTATCGTGCGACGGACAGGCAGGGCAGTACAACGGTTCTATTGGTCACCACTACCGTTTGATTGGTCAACAGTCAACCAATAGGATGAGAGGGAGCTTCCATGTCTTTTTACACAGGATGCCTTTTTTTGTAGTCTGAATACTGAAAGCGAATTCGCTAAGGTCTTCTGGGGACGCCTCAGGACGGTAGACTGAATTCGATATCAGAAACGTTTTAGCGGCAAAAATGAAGTGGCTTTAGCTCAAATATGTGATTCAATGGATTCTAAGGTTAGTTTGATGGACTGATAATCCCTGGTTTGTGTAAGACTGAACAGATGGGCAGCTCCTCATTACTCAAATTCACTCTCTTAGGTAGAAAATATTCAAAGTGAGCTGATAATAATTTCAAGCTTTCAAATAGTTTTAAAAGTTAAAAGACAGAATTCCTTCATTAAGGGCACTATTAGGAGTGTAACGTGCTCTTTGGAAGCACTGAGTCTTAAGTGAAAAATCTTCGTTGTGTAGGCCAGGCCTAAAACGTATAAAAATCATTGCTTTTTGTGAAGAAGAGAACCCAATCCGAGTTGATTGACAGTAATTGTCAAATGTAGCCAGCACGATAATGGGGTTCGCCATACAACTTTTGTGAGATAGCTCGCGGGTCCCTTGACATTTTGCTTTTTAATTATGATGCTTCCAATTAACCACTTTCTGCATGAATTCACAGTGCTTAAAATCACTTCGAAGTGTATTAAACCTTTTATCTGGATAGCCTACTTAAATTGTTATCAGTAGGAGTTTGTGCTAAACAAGGAGAAACTAGGCCGATTATTATAGGTGTCATAATTTCAAAAAAAGCGACTAGCAGCCTATATCTTTTAGCAACAGCAACCGGATATGCCGACTATAGAAAAGCAGGTGATTCTTAAACTACACATAAATAAGCTGGCAACGTGAATGGTGTTCACCCAACCCTTACGATTTATCGATTTTGTGGGTCGCCTAAGTAATAGGTAATCAATGTACTTTCACTGCTAGGGTTACTTCATCGTCAATCCTGTACAATGCAAATTGGCTTGTTGGTTGGATAGCAAATGAGAAGGCGTGCGTATTTTATCCACGCCTAACGCGTCATGCACTAAGGGTCATCACAGGAGGCCATAAGACGCGTTCGCTTTGTCTCGGCCTTCAATAAAGCGGGGTACGCGCTTA